GCATACCTAACCACAGAACTGAAAATGCCAAAAGCCTATATCTTCAAAAAGTTTGTTCTGGATACACTTGCTCTTTGTTCTAGGGATGCTGAGCCGATAACAGTGGTGTAGCACCAGGCACACGTACCTGGAATGACTTCAGTCGTCTGATCCCTGTCATTTAGATTAATGGAGGGGTGAGGGGAGGGGGAGTGAGGGGGAGAGTGCTATCCTTTGTTTTTATTTTTTAATTAGGTACCATTCTGTGATGTATTTCAGTCCAGGGAAAGATTTAGGGTGGAGAAGACTAGAAATTGGTGGGAATCCTATCGTTAGATTTCACACCTTAATGCACAATTGCTTGTTCCTTTGAATACAGGACAGCAGAGGAAACATACGAAGCACTGCTGGTTGTTTTGGTTTGGTGGGGTTTTATTTTTTTAAAATGTAGGTGCCAGCAGGTGCTGAAAGTCCTGGTTAATGAGATACTGCCACCAAGCATTGGTAGCCAAGCACATACAACTTCTTAAATTTGGCCAGATCTTGTCCAGCTATGTAGTTGTTGGGAATTTAAACATTTATTGATGTGAAAGAAGCAGTCTATTAATTTTCCTCACTACTTCTTCCAGTTTGTTTTTCTTGTGACATAAAAACACTCCCACTGTGTCTGTTTTCTTCCTTTTTACTCTCAGTGTCTGTGTTTAAAATTAGCCTGTAAGAAAAGCCTGTCTTTGCTGACCCAGTAACACAGCTTAGTATGTTCCCTGAGTCCCAGAGCATTGTCAGGCGGGTTGTTCTGTGGCCTTTCACCACGAGCAACAGTATATTTTCTTGGGTGATTAAAACAGGCTTTTATATTAGATAGCCTGCTTAGCAGCCAACATTAATACATTCTGAGAGCCACCTTCTCAGAGCACCCCGGCACAGCTGCTGAACAAATGTTTCTATTGGTGCAGTTTTCCCTTTCTCCAGGATTTTTTTAAACTCCCTTTCTCCTGTTTTCTAAATCTGCATATAGTTCAATATGCTCCTTTAAGTAGGTGGAGGGGGTAACTGGAGGGCGAGTACTCCTGCTGCTTGGGAAACAATGATTCCTTCGTCATGAGCCTCTTGGTAGGCATTTTGATTTAGCCTCGTACATCTGTGTACTCCCTAAAAGCCCTTGTAGTTGCTCCTCTGGTTTCTTAGCTGTATGTTTTCTACATCATTCCAATTTATGCAGTCAAGCTGCTAATTTGCATCAATTACCCCAATAAATTTCAGATTGAATTCTGTTGCATTTCAATGAGGAATCTGAAGAGAAATTGGGAGACTACCTTAGAGAGTAAAGTACTACTGGTGTGAAAGAGCAACACATTAAGTCAGTATTTGTATATCAAGACATGAACTTAGTAAATGGGATCTAATCAGTTTTCCTGGAACAGTGAAACAAAATGGTAAAAATCCCTGCGTAGCTGTAAACTATGAACCTTCTTGAGATCCTTGGGTTTTACATTACTTTTTCTGGTGAACAGCAGTATTTTTTAAGGTGGGTTTTTTTTGGTTTTGGTTGTTTTTGTTTTTTTGTGGTTTTTTTTTTCACTTAAGAGGAAATGTACCTCTATTTCACCTGCTTCTCTTCCAATTAGTAGTTGCCCACCTCTTGGGAGCATAATTAAGAGGTCTCTAGTTAGCCTAAGGAAACGAATTAAAGAAATTGTAAAAATGCAACTGTAATAAATGGGAAATATATAGCCATTAAGTCCACAATATCCATATTCATGCTTATGCATTGCTACTGTAATGATTTGATATTTACCTATATAACTCATTTGATTATAAATAACGCTGATTGCATTGGGAACCAGAGGAGCACAAGAGGAGTAATAACCTTTCTCTTTGTTCCAGAAGACTTAGGCAGGCATTTTGTTTAAGCAGTAAATATGTGTAGGAGAAATTGATACTTCTTAATTTTGCACTTAATGGATATTGGCTGCCATCAAACAACCTTGAGTAATTAGTAGCTGTGGCTGTAAGAAGCCCCAGGACTGATTGAGTGTCGAGCGGTAGGTAAAGGCTGGTCTGAAGGGCACTCTTTAATCTGTCGTGGGTCCCAGAAGGATTAAAGGTTGTGCCGAGTGTTTCTCCTGTTTATACAAGGGATGTGTCTTACTGAAGTTCACTTGAAAGTCTTGGAAATACACATCTAACCTGATAAAATATTAAAAACTGCTTGAGTGTTTTGTGTCTCAGGACCTGAATAGCAGTTAGGAAGAACTATTGTAGGGTGCTCTGGATGGGGAAGAGGAGGCACGCAATGTTCCCTTGTACAGGATGGTAGCAGAGCATTTAAGTAACGACAGATGATTAACACATGGTCAAGAAAAATGGTGATAAAAGCAATTTATGAAGCCTGACATGAACCTTCAACATTTACTTTTAGGTGTGTTTCCTTTTCAGTCAGATTGATGAGTGATGACAGAAGAATATAATCTCTCTGGTAGATTTTATTGGAAATATTTATGCTCTTTATAAATTACTTCAATAAAATATCATTCTGGTAATGTTTTCTTAGTTGAACTTTTGAGAGTACAAAGAGCTATCGTGGTGAATTATCCTTAAAATATCTTTACTTTCCTCTTTGGTGCCCTTCACTCATTACAAGCAATGGCTTCTGCTGCCTTTACAGGTAGTGGCTTTCGCTAGAAAACTGAAAAGATGATTCATTGCATATGAAGCTGCTCCATATATCTTAACCCTTATCTTTCCTGAAATTCCTTAAAATTTTGCTGGGGATGCATGATTTTAGGGGTTCAGGCATTCTTATTATTCTTTTGTTGATAAACTGGAGGATTGAAAGATGGGCATGATAGAGTTAATTAACTGTTACAGGTTCAGATTTTCCTGTGCCTGGTGACAGGCTCTGCTTTTGGACACGTTAATAAATGGCTGGTTTGCTGGAATACTGCGCTCTTCCTGCTTCCTTTCATTACACTAGCCAAGGTTCCACTAGATGAGACATTTGCAGTCTTAAGACTTCCTGCCGAGGTTCAGACTTTGTATTTTTGAGATTGAAACTGTCGTGTTCATGAACCTACTTAATTAGAAACACATTCATTTTGGTGCATGCTGGAGGAGCCTGGAGCAGCGCAGCCAGGCACACGGGGAAGTTGAGCATTTGTGCAGCTGGCAGCTAAACCAACGGTTTATACTTTGAATATAAAATTACTGGGTATTTTCTTGCTCCTGGAATGTGGCCATTGGAAATGAAGAGATATGGGTGAAAGAGATAGCGTTTGTCGCAAATAAAACATGCACAATGACAAATAAAAATACTCCTCAGTTGAGCAGCAGTCCATATGTAATAAGTGTGTATCGTGTTGTACGGTAAAAATTTCTATCCAAGAACTTGGATATATGTCCTGCTTCTCATCTGTGGGATTCCCAAGGAAGGAGAACCTTCAGGGTTTGTACCAAGGTAATTTCTGATGGAACAGTGCCTCTGGGCTCTCTGTCACAAGGTGCTGGACTGGGTGAGGCTCGCGCAGGAGCACTCCTGCCAGCCCAGGCGGGTCAGTGCGCTGCAGTGCAATGGGATACACTGCCTTCAGGATCCTACAAATGAACTTGGAAGGTTTCTTTGAAGTTGTGTATGTTTAATGTCTTCAGAAAGAAAAAAAAGTGTTTTCACGTAGAATTTCTAATACAGAGGCTCTTTCCTTCTCTTGGTGCAGCATCCAACAGGGTAGCGGTTTTAGGTGGTATATTAATAAACGTGATAAATACTAATATGCATATTGGTAAATATATATATTAATTGGTATTTCTAATGCAAATGTGAAGCAGAGTGATTTTTGCAGGTCTGGTGTCTTGCAGTAGGTTTTTCAGCACTGTACTTCTCTTACTGAGCAGTAGGCACCGGTTTATAAAGCAATATGGAAGATATTTTAATCCAAGGCAGTACAGTGACATTTCTCTCATTTTTTTCCATCTGAAATTGAAAATGAGTTCTTTTGAGCTTCTGTATCCAAAACGAAATAAGGCTCTATTTTAAAAGTTGTGTCTGTCTGTGGGTTTTCCATTTAACAGGCAGTATATGCCACATTTGCAATTAGCAGCTTTGGCACCCTCTTTGATGTGTTCTAATAAGCAATGCAAATACGAGCTTCCCCGATCGGTTGAGTGGGAGTCCTGTAATACGCTTAATATTAGAAATACCGTACACACAGAGATACCACTTCCATTCAGATTCTTCTTGTGTTACATGGCCCATGTTGGGGTTTGCTAACATCGTGCAAGAGAAGAAGGAAAAGATCAATCTTTCTTTTAAACGTTGTCATTCTGTTTGATAACAGAAGTGTCACACCTGTGTTGGAGGCTGTGAGTTTGGCCTGAGAGCCTCTTGGGATGTTTCAGTTAAAGGGAATAATGGTACCAGTGTATAGCCCAGGAACTCTGGAATTAATCAGAATCTTCAGAAGTATTTTTTATGTTTTTCTCTTATAAATGTAAACATTTCAAGTTTTATATCTAAAAATAAATTATTTAAAATGTGTCTGGACCCATATTCAAAGGATTTAAAACTTGTAGTACCAGGTGATACGTATACATTAAATTAATCACTTAACAATACCACAGGATCAATCTTTCTAAAGAATACTCTTAGCAAAAGTCTGGGTATCTATTTGAAAATTGTAATAACACATTTTGTTTTGTTTTTATTTTTGTTTTTTTAAAGCTGCCAGTATTACAGATATCTTTAATAGCTGTTCTTTTGGACCTGCTTTAACTTAGTCACTTAGAAATCCTGATGTCAAGAAAAATTCAAGTCTTGCAGTAGTGAGAAGATATTGCATAGTAAAAAAAAGTCTTTCAAGTATGAAATAAAATTTTGTTCACATGTGGCTTGTTTATGTATATATTATTTTTTTAAGCAAAATTTAATCCAGTATCTTGGTGTTTTCCTGTAGCTAATTTTATGAGTCATATGTGTTAATCCAGTGTTATGAGAATGTAAAGCTAGGTGTTTTTCCTCTTTGCAGTGCCCCCATGCCCTACCTCATTGGAATACATTTAAGTTTGATGGAGGTAAGTCTTTCTCACCATTTCTGAAACTATATATAGTTTTATGGCTTAGAGACAAATTCTGCAAGCAATTACACATTCATTCATATGCTTAAAAATGAAATAATCCTGTTAATTTTTGAGTGCTGCGAGAGCTGAAGTTAAGCATACATGATCATGTTAAGTCTTAAAGGGAGTCTTATTTGATACCTCGAACTCTTCGGGCATGCTTTCTGTTTGCAGTCCATGGCAAGCTCACGTTGTGTTCCCCTCTCCATCCTGTTGTTTCACTTAACCAGTTTATTGCCTGAGTTTGACTCTGTATTCACAAAGGCAGACTCGATATTAAACCAAAATGTTGACAGTTTCAGTTCTCTTTTAGGCTTTTGCAGACAGATTGTAATTTTTTTAATGTTCAAAAGATCTGAAAAGAAGGAACTTGCTGTTAATGTTAACACAAAGCTGGCAGAAAACCAGCCCTCGCAGAAAGCTTCACATATAAACAATTTGGAGTAATTCATGTGACTTTTTAAAAACTCTAAAAGTGCAAACAGCACATTTGCTTTTGCTTCCAGTACTGGTGAAACAGTTGATGACTTTTCCTCAAAAGTATCTGGAGGACAATGTAAGCTATTTAGATCCCTGTGAAAATCCTGGCCCGTATGAATCGTGCCCCTTTGCTCAGGAAGTCTGAACAACGTGTGTATGCTCCGGCTGGGAGGAGGCATCCCTGCCCAGAAAGCGTTGCCTCTTCGGGGGCTCCTAAATGAGCAGGCAGTGCTCAGCTGGTGGGAGTTGCAAAAGCCCGTTAAAGTGGATTGACCTGTGTCCCTGTTCCAGTGTTTGGAAATTTGGGCGCAGTGTTTAGGATACATAAGCATTTACAAAGCTGAGTTTAACATCACATAAAGTAGTGCGTATTACTAGAATATTTATTCTTATGTTGTCCATAAAAATGTGTAGCTTTTCTGGGAATATTGATCAATATATTATTTCACTAGGGCATGCGTAAATGATAATGATCCTCTATGTCTTTGTGTGTTAACTTAGACTAGTGTGCTGTGTAAATTCCCCCTTCTTCCGGCGTCAATGTGAAGTAATTTTAGAAGTCACTTTTTTTCATGAGAAGCTAGAGGGAATATGCAGGACCTTTTTTCTTTTTTTTTCCTTACTCTCCTGGGTACAGATGATTTTTTTTATTGCCCTTTATATTGCTAAATAAAGTGCAGAATTGCAGGACAATGTGTTAGTGAATAAGCAATTACTTTAAAAGTCAACATGTACATTTGTTTGCACATCATATGCTTATGTTAGAGGGGTTTCTGATAATTATCCTTGAATATTGCATAGACAGGACTGGAGAAATTTCTAGGAAGAAATAATCTAGCATATATTTTTCATACTGATCAAGAAATTTTCTGCCCCATGTCTGTACCAGGTAATCATTGGCACGCTTGTTATGTCTGTCTATTGGAAAAAGAAGGGAGACCCAATAGAGGATGGGATAATATCTCAATACAGACACTTGTCAGCTTTCACAATATTTTTTTCCTCAGAGCTACATGGTTAGCCTGGCAATGGTGTAGAAAAAAAAAAATAATAATTACACCTTGGAGTTGCTTTGCATGATCTCTCACTCCTCCTTGCTGCATAAACCCATTACCTCTTCCTTTGTCTCGGTTTCTCAGATTGCAGAGCTCTGTAGGCCTTCCAAACTCCATCTGTAAAAAATCAAAAAAAGGATTTGTTCTTGGAGAAGCCAATTTTCATCGATTTTAGTAACTTGTGAAGAAATCTGTTTAGTACTAAATCCAGTACGGCTTTTGAATAGCCAGAGATTCTGGAACACAGACACACTTTGGCAAAGTACAGTTACTCAAAGTGCCTTATGAAATAAATTAAATAAATAAAACAAACTGTCTTCTCTCCTCCCTCTGCTCTTAAGGATAAATGGAATACTTCCAGATAGAAATGCATCTTCCAGCTAACTGTGCTTCTTCCATTGAAAAATAAAATCACACGGTGGGTTATTGTATCAGTTTGTTGGCAAGTTCTGCGTGATTTGTCTGTGCCTGGGGCAAAGGAAAGGTGACATTTGTCAAATGAGCTAGGCAGTTACCAGTTTACCTCTTTGCCTGGTTTTGTTGCTGAAAGCTTACTCTTTGTCCTTTTCTTCATATGTAGGTATAAATTTGTATTTCTTATTTCTTAGAGTAAGAACTTAGTAGCAGCAGCAATTTTTTTCTCATTATCTAGTAGTCGTGTATTTTTAAAAATAGAATGTATTAATTTTTCTATATCAAAATGATTTTATAAATCACATTTTAAAACTACTGTGATTATCCAGTATTCATTTTTCTGTAAAATAGATCTAACATAAAATAGATGTAAAAGAAAAAATTTTCAGTAAATAGATCTTTAAAAGTGTCTTATGAATCCACGTGTTCTAGTTTCAGGATAAGGGATGAATTCCCCAGTCTTCTATTCAGGTTAAGACAGGTGGACTCTTTATCTACTGTAGAGCCCCATGGGAGTAATTGCAATTATGTACAGGCTCACGGTTCTGCTCCAGCAGCTCCCGCTGCAGAATTTGTCGTTGTTGCATAAATGTTAGTGGAAGCCTACACTTGAGCAGAGAAAGCTGTGGTGTGAAGGGGAGGGTGAACGTGGAATTGAGGAAAGCAAATTATTTTCTAGCTTTTTGTTTCTGGGGGGTTTGTGCTGTCCCTGTCTTGGAACAGGTCCACTGGAAGAAATACAGCAGAAATGTTAATGATTTTAAACAAAATACAACCTCTCTTTCACCTCGAAAGTTTTTTTTTTTCCCCCCCCAAACTACTGTGTGTCTTGAAGTTAGTTTGCAGTTTCCCGTGTTACACAGAGTCTGTGTAGAGGGAACGGTTATTTTAATGGAAAATGACAAATTTTTCTTATGATTAAAATATCAAGCATATCCATTGACTGTTAAATCTAATTTGCTGTGACTGAAATGTTCTCCAGTGAGATAAGATAATCTCCTGTTATAGGTCAGAGGGCTCTAGCTGATTTATGGGGGAAAATCTTGGTAGAAAATACAGAGCTGTGTTTTGTGCTCTTATTTTTCAGCTTTTCTATCATCACCTAGTTAGTCATTCTTTATAAGATTTCCATTTAGCAATCCATAAAGTGACTTCAAAGAAGGCTAAAAGTTTATAAGCTGTTGGATAAGCAAGGCTGGAGCTATCGCATGAATAATGGAACATGCTTACAGAACTAATTGAATTCATATTAGATGAAGATAAGTACCTAGTACTGATAAACAACACGACAGGAAAATGAGACTCTATCGAATGAACACATCCCTTTCATAATCTTCTTTTCTACCTGCCTACTGTCTGCTGTTTCAGTGTTCAAATTATATTAAATTGACCTTTGTGGTGTAAGTGGTGTCAAACTTAGCTGGCAGCCTTTTGCGTTTTGTCAGGGTAAGCGGTTGTTTCAGCAACTGTTCCTGGAGCAGAGGTTATTAGCATGATGGCGCTGATGGAGGAGGAATGCCCTTGACCTAGCGGGCTGCCTACTGGAATCCAGGCACATGTGGTTCTGTTTAGCTGCAGATCCTGAGCTGCTGGCACTGTCCTCTTCTGTGCCAGGCTTCCTGTCATGCCAGTAACAATAGCGCCCAACCTTAACCTGCTCTAGTTGGGGCACAACACCAACCTTTAAAGTTAATGATTAGAAAAGCATTTTTTGGCTTTTTTTTTTTTTTTTTTAATATTCCAGTCAGTCAAGGACTTCTTCTGGGAGTTCAGAATTTTAATTCTTTCAAGATTACCCAGAAGGGATTTGTGTGTGAAACCACATGGCATGTGTTAGAATGATTTTTTTAAACATTTTTCCTAAGCATAAAGGACAGTTCTGCATATCGTAAAACCTATATGAGCAGGTTTTTGTTTTGTTTTAACCTGTTATGAGTGAGTACGTTCATTTTAGGAAACGAAGGCTCACTAAAGTTCATGCTGTCTTTAATGTGCTAGGACAGGGCGGCTGGCCTCACGTAGTGCCGGCAGTCTCATCCTTGTGCAGCCGGATGAACGGCAAGCTGTGTTCAGTCATCTGACCCCACACGCGTGTTCTGGAAGCACCTTCTGGTGTATTTCCCTGGTCTGTTTCAGGTGGCCCTGAGCATGCTCTGTGATCCAGTCTGACAGTGTGCCTGGTAGCGTGCACGGAGTCTGAGTTAACAGACTGAGGAGCAGGTTACGTCGGCTTGAGCTTAGTCCTGACAGTGCCACGTGGTTCCCGCTGGCCGCAGAACACACCCTGAGAATTCGTTGACCACCTGCATCTTCCAGTGGTGGCATTAATCGTTCATTATGTTTTTTTGATTAGGGTGAGGAGTAAAGTTTAGCTTTTTGCATCCATTTATACTTAGTAAATCCCTGCCTTTTCTAGATATTACTGAAGATGTGTAGCTTTTTTACAGGGTTTAAATGAAGGGTTTATATATATATACTTCAATCCAGATCTTAAAAAACGAAATATAAGTTAGTCACTCACAAATATCCTAAATATGGCTGTACATGGTTTCAGGAGTATCGATAAAAATGTATTTTAAAACATGACAAATTACTTAGGGAATTTTCTTTTATCCAATTATTGGAAAAATGAAAATAATAACTGTGTTTTAATAAGAGATTCTTCATGAGGGGATGTTTGAGGGGTAAGTTTGAAGGAAGACAAATACTGCAACACCAAGTAGACTTCCCATTAAGCGCAGAAGGCTTTTCCTCTGTTGTACACTAGTGTTAGACCAGGAGGAGTGATGTTTGTCACTCAGTCGGCAACAGCTGCTTGTGATAAGGATCTTGAGAATCACCTGTACAGGATCAGGGTCCTGCACATCAAGGTTGGGAGATGGGCGGAAGAGTGGGAGATGCAGCAGCCCACCTGCTGTGCCCAGATCAAAGGGCCGGGAGGTCAGGGGGCACATCCAGCTTAACCAGATTTGTCTGTTGAATAGCTATTTCAGATTGTAAATCTAAGGGTGATTTCATTAAGTCCTTCTGGCTGCTGTTGGGGCATGAAATAATAAAATTTTATATCCGTTGCCTTTCCTGCTTCTGGCAGCCAGATTGACACATTGTTGTCTGCAGCGTTGTGGTGTTTTTCCTAAGAAAATAAATGGAAACTATTAACTAAGTAGAGACAAGTCATTAAGCAAATGGATTTTAGACTTGTTGTGAATCATACTTCCATAATAGTTTCAAATATAGTGTACAAACTAGCTAGTAAGAACATCAGTTTTTGTTAAGAGTTCTGTCTTTCCAAAAGAATTGCTGGAAGGTACGTTTTCTTTTTTCTGTTACAACACTTTTTAGTATGTTGATCACATTTGTGTCTGGTTCCGAAACCTCCTGCTCAGCTTGGTTGATGTTTTGGCACCAATTTACCCATGAAGGTATGCAAACCTAGGGTTTGGGGGGAGAGGGGATGGTGGTGTTTTGGGTTTTTTTTAAATGAACTATTCAATAAAATTGTTCATCTGAAAGAAGTTTAACTTCGGACTTTTTGTGGTAGGAAGTGCAAAAACTGCCAACTGCAGAAGTGATAATAAAATGACATTTAGTATAAACTGGTGTTAGTATTATTGATGAAATTGCTTCTAGCGTGTCATCTGAGTGAGACAGTGGAGCACTCCTTAATACTTCTATTAGAATATAGTTTCTCAGTGTTTTTGCAAACTTTTACATAAAACATTTAAATTACTTCAAGTGTTTGGCTGCTTGTGAGCAGGACAGACGCACTAACTGCTGCTTATTTACTGACCTGGTGTTTAAGGCCCCCTGGAGTTTGTTTGAAAAGTTAAGAGATTTTCACAGTAAAGGTGCCATTTCTGAAATTTAAAGTGCTCTTTTCACCAGGAGATAAGTTCTCTCTGATTAAGTCAGTAATTCTTACTAAGCCATGTTTATAGAGGCCATAAACAATGGGTTCAGTGTGCTTGTTAAACCAGCTTTCCATACCTCTCCGCTCTTTTAAAAAGAGACATTTAAAATAAAAGGCAGGTGTAGATGTTAGTTCGATTTGATGGTTTTTAGATCATTAATTATGGCTACAAGTAGTTTGGTAAGGTTGGCTGAGAAAGGTTTGCCCTAGTGATATGTGATGCACGGTTTCACTGAATCACTTCATTTGACTCAGCAAATCCCTAGTCTGTAGTAAAATTAGATAAGGAGACTGTAATGTTCATGTTTCCTCTTGTTCTTTGCTTCTCCCCATCTTCTTCAGCAAGATCTGAACTTACTGGATATAGTCCATTCTGTTTAACAGGTACTACATTGTTTGTAAAATTTTGTTTAGACAGCCAGGAAGCTGTGAGATGCGGAATGTGACTGGCTTAGTGGCTGTCCCTTCCTATTTTGAGAAAAATATGACAATATGCAGACTGAACCTGTGAAAATGGCCAACATGTAATTACAGCTCATACAGTCCAATGGGATTTAATGGGAGAAACGCAGTTGGATGCTGCGAATTTTTACTAAAATTCCAACAAGAGAGCAAATACTTTTGTTTCCAGGTCAGTTGGGCTGATAGGTTCTACGTTTAGGAAAAGAGCCATCTGATCATTTGACAAAAGCCCTTATAACTGTCCGATAATACCTTTATCAAAGATTATAGTGAGAGGAAAGATTATAAAAGCAGATAAGGATTAAGATGAACTGGTCAGTCTACATTTCTCTTGGATGAGCCACAGTTGGACCACTGAAAAATTGTGGTTTTGCAAATTCATTGCTAGACAGATGCTATAAATCAAAGTTAGTCTCAAGTGTTTTATTAAATTTGAGTGTTTGTCTCCAGGGAAATCCACTGTCTTAATACAAATATTGAGAAGTTTTAAAGTAAGCTTGTGCTTTTCCCAGCACAAAGGTACAGCACAGCAGGGTCTAATCTTGACCTTCCTTTCGGACACAATGATTTCTGGGCCACGTGTGGCGGTGATTGCGTTGATCAGCATTTCTAGTCCTTGCGCGGTGAGCAGCATCCTTTTGTGCTGTGCTCCTTGGCAGATATCCGCTTGTCACAAGCCTGTGCTTTGCTACAGAAACCCCCAACGTTCGGCTGAAGGGAAGGTGCAGATTCATCACCAGAGTTACAAAAACACCCGTTGACAAGTTCAAGCACATGTTTGTTGCTTCTTCGGCAAGAATCAAGAGAAGGTTTTAATTCCTTCTGTCTTGTCCTACTAGCGCTTGATTTTGACGAGCTTCTGGCTTTGGTTAAGTACATTGCAAGAGCTTTTTGTTGGAGCTTTTTAGGCTCCTCTAAGTGAGATTTTTAATTTTCTGAAACAGGAAGGAGCAAATCAGTTTGTCTGGTGCTTCCGGACTCCTAGAAGGAGCAAGACTCCTGGATTGCTTTAGAGTTTATCAGATGCAGCCAACAGAGTGACCTTTGGTTCCTGAAATGGAGAGGAAAGTACCTGGTTTGTCATGCAGTTCTTGTGCTTTTTATATGGAAAGCATTAAATGTAATATTCTTCCACTTAAGTTAAAGAAATTTTTCATGGAAGACCTAAACTTAAATGTCTGCAAAGTGATTTTTATAGATGTTGGCTTTTTTTCCTCCCCCCTAAGTACACAGCAGTTTTCTTTATAGGCAGAGGACTGAGCCTTGAAAACTGAAGGTAATTATTTAGATGCCTAAGGCTCAACTTTGCCATTGTTTTAGAGCTCTAGTTCCTTTCTTTTAAAGGAAACAATTCCCTCCACCCTGCAAAACCTTAATTAAAAATTAAGTATGTTTTTGTTCATTTTCCTCCTCAGTAACTTGCACTATACCGACGGATAGGTATGTAGGTACTTAAATATTTGTTTAGTGTCACTGGGAAACTTCCTTAATTACCATATTCTATAGTTCCACTTTTTCTGATTTTGAATTTTCAAAGCTTTATCTGAAGAGGGCTTAAATACGTAGGATTAGTCAGACAAAAAAAAAAAGGATTCAATTTGCCTGTTAGCAGAAAAAGTACCAAAATAAATATTTCAGTGCTGCTTTGTCTCATATCAGTGATTCATTTACTGTTGTTTAAGCAGGGAAATAAAGTCTGACAGTGTTTAAATTTGCTTAGATCACCGATATCTTTATGATGATCATTCTTTTGGGAAATAGGTTATGCTTTTCTTTTGTGTGTCCATGTACTGTTACAGATGATGTGAACACTCAAACGAGATTAGAGACATTTCTTTCTCTCGATTCATGGGAAGAGGATGGAAAGTTTAGACTTGCTGAACATTAAGAGACCAGGATATGGTGGAGATATTTTTCTCTTAGGTTTTCTTCATTTTAGTTCATATTTATTAACCTCTGTTAGTGTCCATTTTACCTAAATACAGTTGTAAGCTTGTCTCCAACTTGGGATTTGGAAACGAGTTCTTATCCCTGATTTACTCCAACTTTTAACTCCTAGAAAATCAACTGTTTATTGTCATTAAAATTAATTTTTAAATATAAAAAGATGTACTTGAAATCTTGACTCAGGTAGAAACTGCTAAATGTGTAAACAGGATATCAGAATTAAGAAAAGAAATAAATCTTTGCTTGAATAATCTCAAACAATAACTCTAGTTTCAAAACTTTCAGTATGTGCAACGGGAAGACCTTCCATCTGCAAACTGAAGGTTGATTTTTCAACGTTGTAAAATGTGAATAAATAAAACAAATGATGACAGAAAGACAGGAATGTTGGATGTTTTTAAAATGCTTGAAGTTTTGTAGTGCCATGATGTTATGCCATCACTTACGTCCTTTATGTATAAGATTTAACTCTGCATACTTATGTTTGTTTGCCTTCTCCTTTTCTTGAATTTGCTCATACTTAGAAAGTAAGAAGCATGGCCCTGGAAGATGTGGTGATTCTTAATGTAGACACCAACACACTGGAAACCCCTTTTGATGACCTTCAGAGCCTTCCTAATGATGTGGTATGTATGACATGATTTATTCAACTATTCCATTACTTAAAAGTGTAAATCCTTTTGACCTGCTCGGTTTGTAGCTGAGCTGTCTCACTGTGTTACTCTCATTATTATAAGTAAACTGGTTTACCTCGATTGTTTCCTGTTTTGAAGTGTTAAGCAATGTTTGTTTGAACTTTTGAAGTCATATTTTTAAGCCTCCTAATGAAAATTAGCTAATGCTCACCTAAGCTGCAGCAGCCCAGTTTCACTTTTGGATCGCGTGATCAAGTTTCATGTAAAGAGTTAGTCTTTTATAGGGGGGGAAAAAAGATAATGGAAAACACGGGGGGTGTGGTACCTCTGAACAGGAAACTAAAATTCAAACTTCTTCTTCATGGTGTGAAAAAGAAATACTCTTTGAAACTATCTTTATCCATTCCATTACGAAATAAAAAACAAAAAACAAAACAACCCCCCCAAAAAAAACTAAAGAGCATTTTTAGATAACTTTTGTTTCCAAATGATTTTTTTTTTCTCCTGTGACTTCTTCCAGGTGAGTTGTAATGAATTTTTGCATTTTATGTCCTGAATTACAATATCGAATGGACTACTTCATATTCACTCCTGAATATGAAAACGGCAGGGGAAAATCTGTGTTTCTTTTACCAGTTCGAAATATTGTGCTGACAGTTAGATCTATACCTTTTTGTGTGTAGTTGAGAAATAAAATTGATATGCAGGGAGCTCAGGATAAGCTGGTCTCAAGTAATGGTGAACACCCAGTGCTGCCTCCTGTGACATCCCATCATTCTTTGTGATCTGTGGTGGGATCCGCTCTTCGAAAACAGCGAGCTCTGGGGGAGAGGTCCATCTCGATGGTGAACATTTTGGCTTTAGTCAAGCATTTAGTCTATAAAAGTTACTTCAATGAATTTTTCTGGCTTTATATAGTTTTTCATTTTTATTTCACTCCTGGCATCCAAACCCGCCAGCTGGTCAGCGCTCGTGCCATCGTTCCCAGCCCGGGGAATGACGGACTTGTAAATTTGATAGGATTATGTAAGAAACGTCTGGATACAGTGAACGCGGGGCCTCAAACATGGATATGATTTGTCAACAATCAAGTATTATATTAGATTTTATGAGGCTTCATTAAATGAGCTGTTGTAGGCGCGCTGTAGAACATCAGAAGAGGCTTCACCAATAAACACAGAACTTCAAGCTTTGGAATGTAATAAATTTTAAGAGACTTCCTTCCTTTCATTATTTACTTTTACTTCACTTTTATAACAGTAGAGAGTTGTGTTTTATTAGTTCAAATTTTTTGATTCAGTTTTCCACAGGTCTATTTAAAAGCTACAATTTTATCTTGGAGGATGTTTGGAGCATAGCAGAGGAAGTGCTGCCAGCAAATTCAATTAACTGGCATGGCTCACAAATAGCCTACATGGTGTATTTTTTTTTCACAACTGCTATATAAATACAGCTGGGATTAATATTTGTCGCAACAAAGCCTTAACTTCAATCGTGTTGTGTTGTGTAATTAATGTTTGGGATCAGTGTTTATGTCTTATTTAGCTTTGTTTCATTATTTTAGTTACCTAGATAATGATGTATTCTCCTCTAGGTCTTTTCCTTTCCCTCAGACTGCTTAATATTTGGCTTTGACCACTAGAGAGCAGCTGCTCTTCTTTGCAAGAATTGAATTTCTGTCAGTTCTTTCATGCATCATGTGTTTGGAACTGTAAGTGGATCAAGTTGTTCATCTCAGCAGGGAGACTCTAAAGCCAATCCATTATACTTTTTTTCTTTTTTTTTCTTTTTTTCCTTTTTTTTTTTTTTCATTTGCTTCCTTGGGAGGATGGGGAGATTCTGGGAGTGTGTCTCCCCACTGGTCTCAGTCTAAACAGATACATTTATGATCTGAGAAACTGAAAATGTCTTCGAGTTTCGTGATCATAAATGGCTGTTAATGTCAAACTGTTCTGCCAGTTTTGCTACTTAACATGAACAGTGAGCAATTCACGCACTGCTGAATAGACACAAAATTGCTAAATTAGATCTATCTATATTGAACAGGGAGGAGAAACATCATCTGTGTGATGCATTCACCATTGGGTAATTAATCCAGTGGAAAACTTTTGAAGCTCGTTTTCCCCTCTCCTGGAACCAGCTTTCTTAATTAAGTAAAACAATGCCTTGAAGTCCTCTGATTATTTTAGAGCTTCAGGTAGTGAGTTGTTCATGATAGTCATGTTGCTACCTAAACTGTTGATTTTCAGTAGTCTAGAATGAACTATTCATTACTAGGATCCGGATGGACATAGGCTATAGTGAAAAGCCTTTCCAGCTCACGGTTGTGTCACAGGAGCTGGATAGCATTGAGACAGTTCCAGCAGGATCAGGTTAAGTAGTTTCTTTGCCCCGGTTTTGCTCAGCACTACCTGCTAGCAGTCAGACTTCTTGAATTGTTCAAGTCAGATCCCTGAAAATCAAGGTGTGTACTACTGCGTTACTACTTAACTACTTGAAATGTGAAAAACTGCCCCTCCTTCACCTTCTGCTTCTGATATGTTGCTGAAAATCTGGCAGCATGAGAACGCCCTGGGAAGTAACTTTCCTTTTAAAATAGCCAATATTAAAAAAAGAGATTTATTAAGGACTGTGATTACAATAAGTGCATCTGCTGCTGACAAGTCTCCTACACCACCGTCTGTGTTGCAAGGAATAGCAAAGAGGGGGTAGTAATTTTTTTTTATGCAACCCTTATGGATTTTTCATGTATTTCCAAATAAGTGTCATCTTCCAGTCTTGGTTGTAGTCAGAGCTTCATATTACAAGGAATAAAGCATAAGCTCGCTCTGTCAACGTGTAGTTTTTATTAAATGAAGCCCTGATGCAATGCAGTGTACTGCACCAAAGAGAGATCTTGCATATCTTATGGCTGTGAGAGTCCTGTAAATGTGCACTAGCCTATGAATATCTTAGGCTGTCAGTAATTTGGTTGTGTATGCTACTGTTGTCCATTCATTAACAAGTTACCACAAGTAGGAAGCCTATGTTACTGTTTTTCAGTTAGTGGGAAATTAACTGCTTTCAGGACAGGAAGCAGTGCTGAACTACAACTCCATAGCAGAACCATTTTCTTAAAGGTGAATCCATTTTTATTTCTTACACTATGTTTGCAATGGAATGTTTCTTCTTTTATTCATGTTGACAACTGAAAAGTCTTGGACCTAATTAAAAGAATTTCCGCTAGCACCTTTACTGAACCATTTCATTATGCTGCATTGCACAGATTGCATTTTGAAACATGGTGATAGTTTAAATCTGACCTTTAAACCTGAACTGCCAGAAGTATAAAAATCTTCTTTAAAAACACTCTCAGGGTAGACTGCATGTATATGTGTCTGTTTGTCTAGAGATAATCTTCATATTGAGTGGTCACAGTCTTTTTTTAAGTATTAGTGCCTCTTTAGACAGGAAACAATTGTAATTCTGCTTGTATAATCTACTCTGGTTTATGAACTAGTTTACTCCAGAGTAAACATGAATTTTTTTTTTTCCTTACTTGTTAGTCTCTTTAAATATGTTGTTCTTAGCATTTTCTTTTTTAAAAAACTATGACATGCCTATTGCAATAGTCCTGACTGGATGAGTAAAAGTTTGCGTATACAAAATGGACATCCGCCAGTATTTGATTTAGTCTTAGAAGAGAGAAAATGATCTGAAAGCTTAAGGAATTAGCAAAATACCTATCAACATTCTACTTTTATACCAAACGGGGAAGCTGAAACACAGAAAGGCTGAGACTAGCCTTCTGAACTTGTAGTTTGTTGTAAAACGAAGCATAGAGTCTTTTCCTTCTCTGTAGAAGGCAAGCTCTTTATCTTCACATGAATATGTGAAGAAAACCTCTTATAAAAATGTTTGAGATGGATTTGGAGGTTACTCAGAGCTATAGACATTTTATTACATTTTTAAGATCTACCTTTAAAATGTTTACATAGGTTAATATAGGAAATAAACACTTCATCCCTACGACATCAGGCTCCTTCAGACATGGAGTAGTGTGCTCTTCAGGCTTGAAAATCTGATGAAGCTTTCACATTTTGAGAATAACAGAGCTCCTTGAGAGACATTATCTCAGTGAATAGGAGTGAGCTTGTTTTATAGGCATGATAGTCTAGGTCTGTTATCGTGTGTTAATATGTGCTTATGGGCTCGTTAAGGCATGGATCACTGGCATAAGCCACAGCATTCAGATCTCTGAGCAGCACTGGACATACTCTTGCTTATTTCTGTGGTACTAAAAAACTGTAATGAAAATCCTCCTACAGCAGGAGCTGCAGAGAACTTAAAGTAAAAGGAAATGTCTTTGCAACTGCGTGTTAATGATGGAACTTATATAGCCACGGCAGCACAGGCTCAGCAAGTGTCGTGGTAATCTTTGAACGGTGTTTTTATGTCCTTTCCTGGCTTGTGTTGGGGAAAGCAAAGCGCTGTCACTAACAATAGTGTGTAGGTACCTTACTGCAGGAGTTACCGAGCTCTGAGCTCTAGGAAGGAGGCGTCAAACCACGACCTCCTCGTGTGTGTGTGTGTGTGTGTGTGTGAGGAACCCTGCAGCCCAGAGAACAGGAGAGGGTGATCCTCCAGAACTGCAGCCCTTGGTGTACCCAGAACACAAAGAATCTCATGGTGGTTTTAACTGTGCTGGCACAGGGATGTGTTTGGTTGGTGTTTGCTCAGAGTGGGGGGTAAGTGTCTCTGTGTAAATGGTGATGAGACTCTGTGGCTCCTGAGGTAATGAACCACCTGCGCAGCGGCGGGGAGGGCATGGAGGGTTCGGAGAGGAGCCGCCCTGCGCACAGGTGGCTTGGATCTGCTGAGAGACGGGGGGAAGAAAAGCTTCAGGAGATACTGACCGTTTTGAAGGACAGAATGTTGTTGTTGAGGCTTTTCAAACAACCTGCAGGTTTTGCTTTCTGGATTGCGTCGGGTGTCTGTGGTGCTGTGTGGGCAGGGAGGCCGCAGGGCCTCTGTGTTCGGAGAGGAGCCGCCCTGCGCACAGGTGGCTTGGATCTGCTGAGAGACGGGGGGAAGAAAAGCTTCAGGAGATACTGACCGTTTTGAAGGACAGAATGTTGTTGTTGAGGCTTTTCAAACAACCTGCAGGTTTTGCTTTCTGGATTGCGTCGGGTGTCTGTGGTGCTGTGTGGGCAGGGAGGCCGCAGGGCCTCTGTGAGGGGAGGCCGGGGCGGCCGGAGCAGGACACAGCCGGTTCCAGCCCGCCCCTCAGCACACCTCAGCTGAGCCATCGCAGAGCTGGCCGTGCCTCTGGGGAAGCGTGTGTGAGAAGGGGCAAAATGCTGCACGGCAGAGTGTGGAGGAAGGAGCAGGGGAGAGGAGCTGCTGCGGCCTGACAGCGGCCCCGTCGCCATCGCCCTGCGCCACGGGAGGAG